TGTTTTAGTTTCAGGTATAAATTATGATCCATTGATTATTCCTCACTGACCGGACTTTTCCTTTAAACAACGCTTTGATGCGTGCAACATATTTTCATGAATGATGGATGAATGATGACTCAGCAGTTTTGTCCTTCATTCTAACGGAAAACTTTCTGTTTTTAAACACAACAGAATGAAGAAGTTAAGTTTCCTGTCAGCAAGAATCACTTCCTGTCTGATGCTCATCATTAAAACTGTCAGCAGTATGAAAATCAGTTGCACTATTGATGAATTACAGCCTGCAATCACTTCCTGTCTGATGCTCATCATTAAAACTGTCAGCAGTATGAAAATCAGTTGCACTATTGATGAATTACAGCCTGCAAGACGCCGTGCAGGGATAAAATCTACAGATAGATCTTAATGCTCTGTCGTCTTCTCTGGGACGTCTACAGCCTCCCTGATTAACAGCAGCTTAAACTAAAACCAGGTGAGCAGCAGACGGGATCCAGGTGAACTTTCTTTGACTCTAAGCTGATTGGATGACGTCGCCTCAGACAGTGACATCACGTCTCACCTCGTCCTGGCTGCTCTCCACCTTCGGGTTGCTAGCCGTCCTCTTCAGGTTGCTGCTCAGACTGATGCTGACCGTGGCGTCAGATTTGGAGCGCTGATGGGTCCGTTTGGACGGAGACAGGGCGTGTTCCGTCGTAAGGCCCCCGGGGGACGCCGCGGGGCAGAACGGGGTCAGAGTCAGCTCCCGTCTGGCTCGGGGCCCGGAGGGTTTGAGTTCATCTGACAGGATGAGCTTCCTGAGTTTGGTTCCTCTGGAGTGGCGCTGTGTGGAGATGTGCATGTCGGAGGAGTACGCTCCCAGCAGCCAGGCGCACTGCAGGCTGAAAGAGATGCTCTGCCTGCAGCGGTGCACCTGCAGAACCAAACGCAGGGTGAAATAACCCCCACACACAAACACAGAGAGAAACTTCAATCAAAATGACTTGATGCTGATAAATGGACATCTTTCTCTCCACTAGATGGCGACCTTCAGCTGTTCTAAAAGTTTCCCTGCTCCTTTACAATAATCTTACATTGGTTTTCCCCATGGCAACCAACATAAACAGAGAACAGGAGGCCACACCCACCAAGTAAGGCTTGATGGCGTCGCCGACGTCCTCGTCCATGTGGATGTACATGTTGAGGAGCTGCGGCAGGTAGAAGTCCACGTCCTCGTGCGGGAAGCTGAAGAGCCGGTTCCCGATGTACGCCTGCACGCCGGGCTCCTTGGAGCTGTGCAGGTAGGAGATCGCCATGGAAACGTCAAACAGCTTAGACTCGAACAGGCGCAGCAGCCACGACTGTTTGGAGGGGTTGTGTCTCTGCCGACGCCGCGCGCTCTTCACCGAGCCGGGCGCCGGGCCCGTCGGGTCGTCTTCCTCCTCTCGGATCTGTGGCGTCTTGATGGCGGGCGTGGGAGGAGCGTGGGAGGCCTTGTCCGTCGCCGGCCCGTTTTGTCGCTGGTCGGGCTCGGCGTCCACCTGCCCCAGCTTCACCTTCTGTAGGACCTCCCGACACGCTCGCTGGGCCACCTCAGGGTCTATCACCAGGCTCAGCTCGCTGACGCCCTCGCTGATGACGCACAGAGGGGGCGTGGCTGTCTGGGGGGGTCCACATGAAGAGGAAGGGGTGGAGGGAAGGGACTGGGAAGGGGAGGAGCTGATGGAGACGGAAGGGCTGTTCTGGCCAGAGGGGGCGGGAGAAAGATCTTCCTGTGTGTCCTCCATAACGGCTGCTGAGAGGCTCCGCCCACCGCCACTGAAACACAGAAACACGGCCCAGAGGTCATAAAGGTCACCAGGAAGGCCTGCGGGAGCAGGATTACCCGATAGAGATCAAACGATGCCGGTTATTTTCAGGCCAGTGGTGACATCATTACACGAGTCTTAATATGAGCAAAAACAAAAAACATTAACAAATCGAACAAAACATCACGTGATATCAAAACATGTCTGCTAATCGCTCTAAAGCCGCGCATACACGGTACGATCTTTGATTATGATCTGAATTAAAGATCAATTCAAATTGACTCTTAGTTTATTTAATGTTTTTACTGTACTTATTATTTTAAAAATAGGATTTAGTCCACAAGCATCCTCATTCACATTGTCCCCTAAACTTTCACATTATATATTTACATTTTTTATTGGCTGCATCTAAAAATATCAAAGATATTTTCAATTTAAATATAGACATGAAAAAAATAAAATATAACCTAAATCACATCATTGTACTATTAGGTCAATAAATCTATTCAGTTCAGTCTGTCAAATAAGCTGCCTGTAGTGTCTTTAAATGACCAGCAGGTGTCAGTATTCAGTCAGACAGGATCAACACAGCATCAATACAGTTTGGCAACATGTGAAACGCTTCCAGTCCTCATTAACCATCACTCTACTTTATACTGAAACAATAATCAATAATTGAAGCAGTCCTCAACTGATTTAGCAGCTGATTCAACTCTGCAGACGGGGCTGCTCGGTGGAACAGCGGGTAGCACTGTTGCCTAGCAGCAAGAAGGTTCCGGGTTTGATTCACAGTCTTTCTGTGTGGGTTCTCTCCGGGTACTCCGGCTTCCTCCATCAGTCCAAAAACATGACTGTTAGGTTAATTGGCTTCTCTAAATCCTCCTTAGTGTGTGTTTGAATGCTTGTCCTGTTTGTATCTGTGTTGCCCTGCGATGGACTGGCAACCTGTCCATCGTGGATCCCACCTCTCGCCCGCAGACAGCCGGAGATAGGGATAAGGGTGACAGATAATGGATGGATGGATGGAATTGTTACCTAAAGTAAAATATACAGTCTCTAAAACGTTCACTAAAAGAATTAAAGAATGACCTCCTTGAACCCCAGTCGGCTCAGCAGATGGCCGCTCACTTCTACTGGAGTTTTCTTCCTGTTAAACGGGATTTTTTTCCTCTCCACTGTCGCTACAAGCATGCTTAGTGTGAGGGATTGCTGAAGAGTCAATGAGTCGATGCAATCAGCTGGTTTTCCTTAGATAGAAAACTTTGAATCAATCTGACTGGATGATCTGGTGAACTGGAAAGTGACCTGAGATGACATGATGTGAATTGGAGCTATAGAAATAAACTGAATAGAATTTAATTGCACTTCTAGAAGCCATTAGAAAATAAAACTCAAATATAAACATTTTTTTAACATAAAATACCCCCTTTGGGCATTAAAGGCATAATAGCTTTGAATTATTTCTTATGTATATTTTTAGGCTTTTCCAGTTGCAGTTCATTAAAATTCATGCATATTTTTTTTTCTATAGTGCACATATTTGTTTATTTAGAAATGTTAGTTTATTACAATCAATTAAAAACAATTTGAGACATTAATGGATAAAAAATCAACAGGTTGCTGCGGTCTGAGGCGTCCTTTGTCTGAAGAGTCAGGAAAGTTGTGTCTTCCTTCAATAATCTGCAGCTCAGGTTAAGGTTTCCCATTTCTTTAACTTGTTTTAAACAAAAACTAGATGTTTTATGAAACATCCTGCACCTTGGTTTAAATCATTATCATTAGCACATATATTTCTATTTAAAGGCAGATATTTACACCACCCAGACTGTTAGAAGTGAATTCATTTGGCTTTTAAATTAACAAGTAAATAATTGATGAAGTAGCAGCAGCGGAAGAGTCCCAGCTCTCCTCTCTGACACAGTTACAACAAATCGGCTCCAAAGCGCCGGTTGCCAGTTATTATTATACATTATTAAACATCTCAATACGACATAATGACGTCATGACCTATTTACAACCTTATTTCACTTCAAATTAGTTTTAAATAAAGTAAAAACTTGTTCATATAAGTAGAGTACGATTTAGTTATTGAGGAGCTGAGCTCTGAACTGAATTTTCTTAAAGAAAAGAACCGAACCTGATCGGTTCTGGATGTTGGACTGGAATGCTAGCTGTTAGCTCACCGTTAGCTTCGGGTTTAATCACTGATGTTGGCTGAGAAAAGAGAAAAAACTTTGAGCTCTTCTGCACATTATTCTGAATGGTAAACTAATCCAGGTCTGAATATGGGTCAGAATTAATCGTTTCGGTTTGTTTTTGTTTGGGGCTCACAGACTTATAATCCGCTATCAAACAGGAGCAGACGAACCGAACCGAACCGAACCCAGTGACCCACAGAGACCATCAGGACTGCTCGACATAACGGAGAGCTGCGGCTTCAGGAGGCTGCACTCGGATAGCCCTGCTGCTAATGGGCAACCGTTTAAAATGAACAGACTGTTAGCAGCAGCTAACAGCTAGCGTTTGAACTCTGCTAGCTCAGAGCTAACAACAGCTACTCTCAGCCTAAACCAACTGTTGCTAACTCTGTCAGCTTTGTTCCGGCGCGCGCCCAGGCGAGTTACACGGATGAAGTGGCGTGTCGCGTGTGGACAGGTGAGTTGCTGTTACCTGTTGACAACTTAGTTGCGCAAAAATAACGTCTCATGTGTAGTTTGTTGCCTCCATTTATTCCGTTTCGTTGTCATCTCTGCTGGCATCCAGCAGGGGGCGCAGGTGATCTGTTCTTCTTGTGCTTCTTCTTCTGTGGGCAGGAGTTCGTTTATCGCGCAGCACTGCCATCTAGGGGGGAATTTACGCTACAACATTTTTTTTTTGTTTTTAAAAGAAAAAAGAATCCACACATTTTTTTTTCACTGTTGTTACGGAGGAGGATTAGGGCCACTGATAAAAAAAGAATAATAATAATAACTGATTTCTAAATATTATTTCAGTTTAATATCGGTAGAAAGTAAACTAGCTCTCTGGTTTTAATCACCCTCTGCTCTTCCATTAATGAAATAGCCTCAGGCACGTAAAAAGTCGCCTAATTCCGTCATTTTCCACCAATGTGTTCCTGTTTCTCCCAAACAACTCACATGTTTGTCAGTGAAGCTGAGTGCTCCACATCTCTGCCTTCATGATGCCCATCTACATTAAGATGCACAATTCTGAGATTAAAGTCAAAATTCTTAGAAAAAAAGGTCAGATTAAACTGAAATAAAATTACAAAATCAGTTATTTTTTCTCTAATCCTCCTCCATAGTTGTTTTTTTTAACTAAAGTGGGATAAATACTTTACACGTTGATCTCAGAGTCTTTACAGATTTTACTTTTATTTATAAAAAATGTATGTTTAAACTCTTGTTCTGATTTTTTATTATTAATTCATTGTGAATGTGTCAAATGGTTTTGAACCTCAGGGCTTTATTAAATATGTAATTTGGACTTTGGGCACTTTTATCTTCTAGATTAAACCTCTGTGCCACTAATAATTTGATGGCTAATTTCAGCGTATAATGCATGTCTGATGAAGGTCACAGCTATATCCTTGATATAAAGCGTTACAGTGTGTGGGAAGTTTTTTTTTTATTTATTTATTTATTTTAATCTGTGGATACAGAATAAAAACGGAAAAGTTCTTATTTTTTGTCATTTTTAATTACAGGCCGTTTATTAATTTGTGTCCTTATTCTGTTCTGGTTTTCATTTTAATCAATTTTTTGATTGATTAATTGATTTCTTCATTGATTGACTGACTTTATCGAATCAGAATCAGACATACTTTAATAATCCCAGAGGGAAATTAGAGCGGAGAAATGTACTCGTTACAAAGAAGACAAAGAATGAGCCAAAGGAAGAACAAAGTTTCATGGGATATATACAGAATATACAGTGCGTCCCCATATGGCAGATTTTAAATTTTTTTAAATAGTAGGATCATTATAAAGGGTAATTTTACAGGGTTTTTACATGGGTATTAATATAGATGGATATTTATATATCTAGTTATTGTACTGGGGGTCAGATGTAGAGAAACAGGTTATTGCACAGATTTTTATATTTATTTTTATTCTAAATCAACTTCCGTTTTCTTCTATGAAATTTAACTACGTTTTATTTTTATTATGTTTGTATACGTTGTTAATTCCAAAAATATTTTTGAGTTTCAGAGTCGCAAATTAAATTTTAACAAATTACAGTATTCTTTAGAATTGTATTGACCTATTTTTGTTATTTCATTTTAGGATATTTTACTGTAACATTTATTTAAATTATGGTGTTAGATCAAACAACCGTTTTTTAAACTCTATATTTT